AATTTGGGACAATTTCGTTGTGTGTCGGCCGCGCTAGATCAAAAATAAAAAAGTTTCCAAACTTTTGACCGCTACTGTAGTTGTCGGTTTGGTCAATTTTTGTCGGCTAGACCTCCCATTTCGCACGCTTGGAATTTGAAAACCCTGGAACAGTGGTAGAAGAGAAACATGGTGTCTTGCAGATAATCTGTCTAACTGTCGTGAGTGATATTTGAATTACTGTAGTTAGTTCCTATTGTGTGCAATTGCAGACAAATCTACTAAAAGACGTAAATGACTTTTGCATTATTCTGTCTGGTTCATTATGTTGTCTTCAACTGCAGAACAAGTTTTAAACAGAAGGGAAGCCATCGTATCACTGCGATTAATACGTATCACCTGTATCACCTGTCACCCGTTGATCGTCGATTTGCTCCAGCGGCCGCCAGCAACGTCTCCATTCGTCCCTGCGTGCTAGGATGGTCCAGTGGATCCTCCTTGCTCGAGGGACACGAAGTGTCCATCACTTCTTTCTTTCAGTAGCTTTCGTGAAAATCATGACCATCGCCCGACGGTCGCCACGGTCGTTGACGTCCCTAGATCAGCTCGTAACGCTCTGTCCAATGACGGTCATCGCAAAATCGCATGACGTGCCGGCCCAAACCTTATCTTCGATTCCTTGGCGAAAACGGCAGCGTCCCTGATCTTCGATCGTTGGCGTAGTTCGGCACTCCGGATTCCCCTCTGCACTTGCGTGTATAGGGTTACTCCTAGCATCGTCCTCTCGACAGCGCGTTGGATAACGCTGACCGCATGCTCGTCCTGCCTGCGCAGAGTCCAAGTCTCTGAGGCGTAGGTTAGGGCAGGAAGGACAGCGGAATCGAAGAGGTGGGCACGGAGCCGGATGTTCTTCGTCTTCTTCACTACTCCCTCGATGTTCTTGTACGCTCCCCAAGCCGCTCGTTTCCTCCTGCTCAGCTCTGGAGCTAGATCGTTCATCATATTGATTTCCCGACCTAGGTACACGTAGCTGGAGCATTCGGTGATGTTCGTTCCGTTGAGCGTGAATGGGGCATCAGAAACCAATCCGTTTCTCATAAACATCGTCTTCGTTAGGTTCAGCTGTAGACCAACCTTACCACAGGCGCAGTCGAAATCAGCCAGCATTCGCTCCGCTTGCTCGATGTTCGGCGTTATAAGAACGATGTCGTCAGCAAAACGAAGGTGGTGTAGTTGCCGGCCGTCGACCTTCACTCCCATGTCTTCCCATTCCAGTTGACGCATGACGTTCTCGAGAGCGGCGCTGAAGAGTTTGGGCGAGATGGTGTCGCCCTGTCGAACCCCTCTCTTGACGTCGATGATGACCTCCTTGTAGAATGGTGAGATTCTGGTCGTAAAGTTGCTGTAGAGCTCACGAAGAATCTTGATGTACTGAGTAGGGACGCCCTGGTTGCCCAAGGCTTCGATGACCGCTTCTGTCTCCACAGAGTCGAAGGCCTTCTTCAAGTCGATGAACGTGAGACAAAGCGGCATCTTGTACTCTCGTGAAACTTCAATGAGTCTCGTAACCGTGTGGATATGGTCGATCGTGCTGAACCCTCTTCGAACCCTGCTTGCTCGCATGGCTGTCCTTCATCTAGTATTCTGCCGATCCTGTTAAGGATGACTCGAGTGAATAGCTTGTAGATTACAGACAGCAGGCAGATTGGGCGATAGTTGCCAATGTCGTCCAAGTCTCCCTTCTTGTACAGCAACACGGTCCTGCTGGTTTTCCACGGAGTGGGTACCTTGCATTCCGACAGGTAGCGCGTGAAGAGTCGAGCCAGAGTTTTGATGATAACTGGCGGTGCATTCTTCAGATGTTCCGGTTTAACCTGTCGAGACCGGGTGCTGTACGATTCTTCACCGACTTGATGGCGTGTCGGACTTCGGAAGAGAGAACTGAGGGGACGACGTATCCATCCTGTTGCAGTTGATAAGTGGGCAGATGGACATGGCTATCGAAGAGATCCGAGTAGAAGTCGTGGATGACTTTCTCCATTGCCCTTCGGGATGCAGTAACTGTTCCATCCGGACGTCGGAGGCAGGTCATCTTGGTCTTGTAGCTGGCAAAGCTTCGGCGGGCATTGCGGATGCTCCTCCCAGCCTCTGCTGCTTCAGCTAATACTGCTGCTCTTCGCTCCTTGAGATCTTCCTTTATCGCCTCTCTGCATAGCTTCGCAAGCTCGGACGTGAGTCGGTGATTGCCTGCAGCTCGTGCGGCTCCACGCTGGCGTATCAGTTCGAGAGTTTCCGGAGACAGACGTCCCTTGGTGACTTTCAAACTCTCTGCCTTCTTGCCACAATCGTGAAGATGTTCAACGAGCCGATAGTACTCCTCGTCGATGTTTTCGATGACGGAATCCTCCCATAAGCTGACGAGGGAAGCGAAGTGGTCCCAGTTGATGACTGTCCTGGGACTTCGCTTCCTGAACTTTGCTGCTCTCTCAACACGCATCGAGAAGTGGAATCTTGCGCGGAGGAGACGATGGTCCGATCCCGTGTAGAACTTGGAACAACAGCGACGTCGGTCAGGCAAAACCTTCGATTGAAGATGTGGTCTATCTCATTATGGAACTGTCCATCAGGTGACTCCCAAGTCCAGCGAAGGTGAGAGGGCTTCTGGAACTGCGAGTTACCAGATTGGTATTTGTCCGACAAAGAACGTCAGACTCTTCGCCCTGCTCATTACGTTCCCAATCCATTCCGTGAGTACCGATGTGAAGTTCTTCAGCCGTTCTTCTCGGGCCAATCTTGGCGTTGAAGTCGCCGACGATGACCTTGAAGAAGGTATGATCTTCCTTGTAGAACTTCTCCAATTCCATATAAAATGCTTCGTGTTCCTCCTCGTCGTAGCTCGATGTTGGTGCGTAGGCGACGAAGATTGTCAAAGCAGGAGTTGAACCACATCTTCTCAATCTCAAACGTCCGATTCGGGTCGTAAGGCTTTCGTACGAATCGATGTTTATGGCCAAGTGCGTGTTGACGAGGACACCCACACCGCCAACGCCTCTGCTGTCGCATGTTCCAAGGAACAGTTCTTCTCCAGTATCGAAAACGGCGTGTAGCGGTTTGATCTTCCTGGCCTGCATCATCAGATCTTCGATGTGAGCTTCGGATGCAAGCGTTCGTGCGTTGAAAGTACAGATCGCCATCTTAGTCCTTCTTCGTTTAGGCAGCCTATCCGGGCCCTGAGATTCTAGCAGCCTCTCCCGAGCGGTCCTACCCAACGCTGCCGTATTGGGGGCTCCCTCAGGTTCAGGGGAATGAGGCCCATCCATATTGCTGTTTTCGGCATATTGAAGGCACACGAGTAGCTTGCCAGGCTCTGTCGTGCGGGCTAGGATAGACCTCCAGGTAGTTAGCCACGCTATCCTGGAGCGGAACAAGGGGCTTATTTTTTGGAGGCGGCCCCGAATCGCCTCCCATGTACTTCCCAGTCACTTGAATGCAAGCTTTTGGCTGTGCCGACATGCAGGATACCAACCGCACACACACAGAGCGCACCACACACGCAAGCATGCATGGATGCGCCTGAGTGGAGACAGCTGGTATGAATCAACACAGCACTACAGAAACAGGGAGTCCATCCCCTGAATCCACCTGCGTCTCAGGGCAAGTACATGGTGGCTTTTGGTCCGCGATTTACCCCCTATCCGCCACCTGGGGTCGCGCCACGTAGCCTCGCCACCAACCGGCTCGAGATCTTTCAGTGAGAGAGGACCCTCAGTGAAAGAGATCCGTGGATAATATGATATTAATACGTATAGAGTCTGCAATTGCAGAAAACATTCAAAAGGCATAATAATAACGAATTAGTAAGAACTCGAAGATCGAATTAAATAGTAAGAACTTAGAAGTGAGAATTAGCTAACATATAGTAAGACACATAAAATCATTACTATCGTGAGTAAGCACTGTATATTTTCAGGATGTATCGGTCGTTGAACTTGTCGCCTATTAATTGTTTGTTTATTTTTGTTGATCTGCAGATACTGTTTATAGGTCCCGAAAGGAAAATGAGCATCTAATTTGTGTTTATTTTGCAACTTGCCGCTACTTGCCTAAGAATATCATTTATTGTTTCATCGTATGTGTCGCACTATGTCAGACGTGAGTAATTCTGAATTTCTAACTTATCCATGCTAATAAGTGTTCTCGATTTTCTTACACTGTTAAATTCAGAAGCCGGGTTTTGACATCGAAAATGTTGATCAGGAGAAGGGTTTCAAAAAACAGCAAGAAATGGTTAACAGGACTGTGCTGTCAAAACAAGTAAGAATACTGTTCTTTTCTAACCCGAACAAACTGCCATTGCGTGAAGTGGTGAAGAGGTTTTCAACCGAAATAATCAGGTATTTTGATATATTATCATATGTACTAATAACTCCATTGATTTTAATTTTAGATACGATAATCCATCTGACGCAAGCCCTCTCGGATAGGTGAAATCAGCCGGCGGAAGTAATGAAAGTACCTGTTTTCGAGTAAGTTTTCATGGATAGTGTGGCAGACCTTTTGATCGTGCCACGGGAATTGTTTATTCCCTTTTATTAAGTGGTTCAGTGGTTTTGGAATATTTATTGGAATAGACACATAGAACAATTTGATGTGCCGACCAGCCTCGTCGGCTCTGACGATGAAGATGATGCCCGTTGGGCGGTACTAGGGCTAAGCGACCACCAACTAACAAAGGGTCGCGAGAAGTTTTGTATGCTTGCTGGCGTGGACACTCCCCACGCCAGCAAGCATATAAAATTCAAAATTTTAATAAGATGATAATATCCTTGGTTGCTGCTCGTTCGATCGTCGTGGTCGTTGGTGAAGTAGTAGTCGTAGGCGTTGGTTGGGCGGCTTGAAATCGTGGTAAATCGGTGGAAGTGGAGTTGAATAACGTAGTAGAAGTCGTGCGAAGTAGTGGAGTGGTGTGATAGTAGTAGATTGGTTGATGTTGAGGGAGTGTAGAGATGGAGTAGTTGAATTCAATACTTTCTTTTCTTTGTGAAAGTATTTGCTTTGACCGGGCACAGTAAAGCATTGTGAGGTTGGCGGCATATTCCGCACATGACCTTACACGCCGCTTCGTGTGCCGGCTTTAAGCACTGTCCACACAATCCCATTTTTGATACTTGGAACGTACGTGAGTACGTGTTTGGGTACCGTGGACAGCGCCCGCTTGGGTGAGAATCAACGTTCTCTTCTAGTGTACAGAATATACAGGCAGAACGTGGAGTTGAACGTGCAACAAGCACTTCCAAGGCGGGTTTTAGACTATTGAATTCTTAGGAGAATTCTGAATAGAAGACAATCTGCCGAGCGTAGCCTTCGAATTGCTCGATCCGAGCAGAGATAGCAGAAGTGAATTCGTCGAATTTGAGACGAATGACGTCGCTCTTGATCGAGAGTCTTTAGAAGCTCCGTCTGGAGCTGGTCGTCGTCGAGTAGTGGATCGTATTGGGCCATATTTTTGGCTTTTCTTCATCCATATGGGCTTTTATATGGGTACCTCATTGTTTATAATTTGTACCCTCCTTGGCATACTGTGGCTCCGCCCACTCATGTTCCATTTGAGTATATACACTGATGTACATTATGAATAAAGGAAATAAACTTTATAGTATAAATCAATTATTGAATGACGCTATGGTAGGTCAATTTTGGAATTGATTCACATACTTTCTCACTGTCCGCATGGCAGATATAGTAGTGAATCGAATGCCAACCCATGCCACTTTTAATATGGCAAGTGCAAATTTTGCAATGTACACCGCGATAATTGGGAGTATTCTTATCAACACCACAATTATTATTGGGCCAAACACATAGGTGATGGCTCCCGCTATCATTAGCGTTACTACCGACATTAGCGTTACTTTCCAATATTTTGTTCAAAAGCGATTCGATATCTGGTATCCTCAAACTTTGCAACCAGTGGAAAGGTTGCGATACGAAGGTATCTTTTGCATTAAAGATACTGTTGCTATTTCTCATTTCATGGAAGGTTAATATTCCTTCCATTACTATATTCTTTTGCTTACCATCACAGATCGTGTGGCAGTTCCTTCGAATAATGGCATAGTTAAAGTTTAGGTTCACCGTAGTTTTTTTGTTCTTGGGATTACATTCTATGGAGAACGTTTGTTCTTCACATTGATTGTGATCCAAGAGGCGATGCCGGTTTTGCACGAAATTTGGATTTGTGCACCTTCCATGCATTCATAGCAACCTTGTATTTTTTCAAACTGAATTTCACATGGTTGCTTAATTACATATTCACTAACGTTAATTAAAGCGTTAGATTGAAGTGCTAGGATAACTTCCGCTTCTGTGGAAGACAGGATTATTTCCTTATTCCTAGCATTGATTTGTGCTGTCGGTGTATGGATAGGAAGAGTATCAATTACTTCTGACCTGATATGCGATATCGATTCTATCGGACAGTGGCAGCTAGCTTTCGACCGCGAATGGCAAGTACACTCAAAATGAGTGTGCAATTTCGGAAATTGTTGATAGCTGCTCTTTCTGTTGCACATTCGACAGGAATCTTATAGTTATCGGGTATCATAACAGCGTCCTTGGAACTTATCGCGAATCGTCTGTTCATCATAGGAGATTTAGGCTGTTGAATGGAAATTACAGTCATTTTTAAGTCTCCAACCGTTTGTTCAACGTAGGGCTGCAACACGTATCGAGCTTTTTTCGCAGTGTTGTACCAGATCGTGTGCACCTCTAGCGTGACTACTGGCTTCCATTCCAAGCAATCTACTACTTCGTAAGCGATTTTTGATCTAGGTTGATGTACGAACCTATAAAATGAGCATGAGGGTAGTGGTAATAGACAGCCGCATGCGAGTCCTCCGCATGAGGATGCGCATACGGAATACCCTGGATACCTTCTCGATGCACGCAATTCCGGAATGATTTCATCTCTTTGAAAATGGCTGCATCTTTCATCAGAACAGGATCCCATTTCTGGGCACCGTAGTGAGTGGTATATTACTGGAACCGAATGAAGAAGTATAGTTTTTGAGCACGTGAGCTTAATCGGATGATGGTACAGCTTGATTAGCCCAACAGTTTCGTTTCCATGATTGAAGTTGAATACATAAATTTGAGTTGAGTCTATTGAAGTTAATTTCTTCATTGTACTCATATGTGCAACTATCCCTTTGTGTGCAGATAAGGTTTACTGTATGGCGCATATACCCAAGCTGACAAGCTGACACCGTTTCTAATGAGGCAACGATGCAGCATATTGTAATCATTATCGATCTGCCCAACGGAGTAGGGTTCAAATGATTGGAGTGGGATACTCCTTGTGTCGCGCCGGCATGGACGCCTTGCTCCTCGCATAAGCTCAGAAGCATCGGGGTTCACCCTGCTTAGGAGCGGCGTTCATGTCGGCGTGAGGGTACGATCGGGGACTTACGCTGCGCCCGCTCTCGCCACTGTCCACGCGGGGGTTAATACACCAAAGGCCCTAGCAGCCCCTATGGTTACCGCTGGTTACCCGAACCCATTGACCTACGCCATGCCAAACAGGTATGAACTACGGCCATTGCGGCCTACGACGGTGGCCCTTAAACCTAGCCTACGAACATTTCCTATGTTTTACACTGAGCTCAAATATGTGCAAAACAAATACACTGCGGTAGGAATCACCGTTTGATGACTTGATGAAAAACACACAAATGAAACCATAGATTCATATGAATTCTATTATGAGCAAATACTATGAAAAGAATGATAAACACTTCTACGAAATGAAAACCACGACCTACGAACTCACGGGTCGAACCCAGTGCTCAATCCTTACGGGGGAGACGTGGTAGCGGTCCTGCGGTCCATCTCGGGCATCCATGCCCGTCCTCCTTCTGACTCCATCGACCAGACACATGGATACCAAAACAGCGACGTACGACGAACAGCAGGACTACGACGGAAGAGCGAAGAGCGCAACGACCAGACTCGGCGAGATCGACGTGAAGACTGACTGACTGCGAAGGCACGTGAACTCTGCTTCTCTGTCCTCTTCCCGAACCTTCGATCGGACGAGCGCACTGAGACCCGCGCGCACCCTACCAGGCGCGACCCTTTAAAGTCGTGCGGAAGTCACGACACCTTGACTCATTCGCAGGAATTGATTAGTTTGTTCTTCGGACTTTTCTTTAGTTTATTCCATATAGCTGTGGCAGCTAAGAAAATAGTTGCTATGGCAAGATACAGTAAAAGGAAAGCCGATATAATGGCTCCTTCTGGCCAACAGTGTGGGTTTCCTAGTAAGCCTTTGGAGAGGAATTTTTGAGCATAGATGCAGAATTCCGGAGGCGAACATTGTTCCGATTGGGTGAGCACGTCGTCTCCCGCTGATAATTTCAATGTTACAGTAGTATTCCTGTCTAGAGGTGATACAGGCAGATAAATCATGACGTCTTCGGTTCGACTTGTGTATTCTTTACAGTCATTTTCGAGGCATATTTCGAACGGTTTTTCGTTACTGGGAGGTGTCACTTTCACAATGCCGTTTTGGCATTTTATGTGTCCCTCTGAATGTTTGTGCGATAGCACTGGATGTATTGCGCAAGCGATAACTAGCAGCATTGCAACCAAAGTGTCCTGTAATTTGAGCGTCTAGGTTTTGGCGTCGCCTTATAATCGATACAGTGATGATTGAGGCTCACTGAGCGGTCTTCTTCGCCAGAATTCTCTAGACTTTCTTCGAAATTTTTGATGACTTTGTAAGCCAAAGTTTTTGCCTTTCTCTCAGGTGTTCTTTTTATAAGCGGAGTTTGAGGTTCTTCGCTTATTTCCTGTTCAGTGTCCTGCTCATTATTGTCTTGTGGAAATGCTTGTACCACTCCTCTTCTTTGCTTCTTTTTGTTTGTCTGGGTGTCTCGAAGAGAGGTTAGGTAGTCGAAGTTCCATTTTTCCCAGAATTTCAAGGACATGTTCTCCGAGTTTTCAAGTGCTTCTCTGACTTGATTTGCCGTTTGCGGGAGTTCGGGATCGTAATTAGGATCCGCAGTTTCGGCAACTGTTTGCATTTCCGGAACCGAAAATTTGATATTTCCGCAGAGAAAATCAATGGGTCTCAGCGGTATGATGCTCAGATCTGTTGTGTGCACTTTCGTGATTGGTCTACAATTGAGAATTGCTTCTATCTTTGTCATGACCGTGCAGAGCTGAATGAAAGTTCAGTTTCTTTCTGCCAATAGTTTTTTGGAGTGCGCGTTTTACTGAGCCGACTAATCTTTCCCAGACACCTCCCATCCAGGGCGCACCAGGTGGATTGAAAATCCACTGAATTCCTTCTGTAGCGCAGTAAGACATTATTGTATTGTCGGTGTCTTCGTTCTCTTCGAACAACTTCTCTATGACTTTTTGTCCGAGTCTGAAGTTTGTTCCACAGTCTGATCTAACATATTTTGGAACGCCTCTTCTCGAAATAAATCGAATAAAACTGTTCAAGAAGGCACCTGCACTCAAATTTTCAACAACTTCGAGATGTACAGCTCTTGTAGTGAGGCACGTGTACAGGCAAACGTACATTTTTTCATGTTGGACTTTCCATGGGTCCTAAAAAGTCACATGTCAACCTTTCAAGATTTTGCTTCAATATACCCTCTGTCTTGGTAAAGACGGCATTTCTGGTGAAGAGAAAGGTAGGCCGTGGCATTTTCTGCAATTTACACACTGCTTTATTAGGTTTTTAATCAGCGATGATGGTCGAGGAATCCAAAATCTTTGCCTCAACATTGTTAACATTTGCTCTCTGCCACAGTGGGCATTTTTGTTATAAATATCAGCCACAATTAACTTCGCAAGATCCGATTTACACAGAATGAATATTGGTTTTGTATCTTTGAGTAAACAAGCCTTTTGCAGCCTTGAAATATATCGAATCACACCCCAGCTGTTTTTTGAAGCTTTTTCTA